ATTAAAATATATATGATGCCCTGAAACTTTAATAAACATTTCAAATTTTGTCCCAAGGTAGACCTTTTAGTACTTGACATTTAAAAAAAAATTATTAAAATCGGTTTATAACTTCAAATGTTAGGGGGGTGTTTCCATTAAAAATGGGTTACACTATATATGATGAAAATCCATAATTAACATATTCAAAAAACAACTGGCATCTTCGGAAGTGTCTTTACAGTAAAGACACGCCCGAAGAAGACATTGTATGGCGAAACACGTGTTGTGTTTTTGTGAAACTGTTTGGTGAAAATCTCACAGTGAAGGGTTTTTTGAATACGTTTCACTATATAGTTTACAAATTCACAACATAGGTTTCACTGAATGATATCTTCTTCAGGCGTGTTACATCGCCTGAAGAAGTCATTGTATAGTGAATATATGTGTTGCGATTTTGTAAACTGTTAGAGTGTTACTTAAATACGTTTGATAGGTTTGTATCAGAATAATTACGGCCCCACGAATTGTTTGAAAAAGTATCATTCTAAACTAATGGAAAATCTCCTACCGCTGCTGCTGATTGTGCCAGGGTATTCTTAGCTACATAAGCTGCCTGATGTCCGGCAGCATCTTGATTATTCACAGCATCGTTGGCCGCACTGAAAGAACCTTCTGCAATACTTCTTAAGCCACTGCCAGCACTAAAACCTTGCTTCTTCGGGGAGGGTGCGTTATTGTTCGATTGGGTTATCGCTGAAAACTGAACATCGTAGTTGGTCAGTATGTCTATGTCTTCGTATTCCAATGTGCTGTGTGTGGGAACTGCAAAGCAAAGTAAACTATAGGATATCCCTAGCGGTTGGACGTCAATGGATTTCCATTTTGAATATTGAAGATATATGATAGACTTTCAATTCATATGGACATACAAAGTATATCAATTCTCAGATCGATACAATATCTTCCGAAGACATTCATGAAGTGTTCATGAGATATCTCTCGGGATATCCACAAAATAATTTGAACATTCACAATACTCACAATAAAACATCGAGACTAACTAGACGGAATATTCGCTGAAGAAAATGCTTAGGGGCCATATTTCTAGATATTATCTTTGAAAAATATTCAAGGAACGATTGAATAACCGTCAGATAACCGTGTGATCACTTCAAATGTTTTCTTATCATAATGTGTGCCGTGCTAGATGTCTTGCCTATTGATATTTGCCTGTGCCTATGGGAACGATAGCTGGTTAATGAAATTACTTATTTCAATCTTCATCAAACTCCACACAGCCGTTTCTAAATTCCCCAAAAAATAATTCAGATTTGAGTCACGATGAATAACGTTTCGATAAACAATTTATGAAAAAAATTCAATATGAAGTCTGAGACTCTATATCAAGCATCTTTAGGTAGGTTAAATATTCGCAAGCTAGCGAAGTTACAAGATGTTTAGGTATCTATCTGTATCTGTAGAGTAGGAAGGGTGAGTGTAGGCTACATTTGACCCTTTGTACATCTTCCCGAGGTGTTGTCCTCCTAGATCATCGTCTATCCTGTCCTTTCCAGGAAGGTCGACAGGTCACTAGGATACATCTCGTCAGGTGTAAGACTCGCCGAACACACACTCTCTTCGGCAACCTTGAGGTGTCTCACTGTCGTTGCGCGACTTCTTCAACCTTCTTGGGGTTCCCTCCGTGGAGGTGCACAAGTGAGGGAGCTTTCCTGCACGAGCAGTCAGTTCCTCTTGACACCCGCCGCAGGAAGTGCCCTTACACTTCTTCAAGAAAATTCTTCAAAATTGAACATCAGTTGTTGGGAATTTTTGTGAATAATTATCGACGTGGCTGAAATCAGTTGTTTCGAAACAATTTCAATATTCGATGTATTTTTCCATGAATAAACACCAACATAAAGTGTTTTAAAAATGGTGGTACTGCGTATTCAATCTGTAACTAACATGATATTCAATATATTATTTTGTATTATATTTTGTAAAACCTGAATTAATATTCATCTTATTATTATTAATTTTTCCCTGAGGTTACACAGTACACAAGAAACTCCAATTGAGCATGTTTCAAGTATGAGAATGTAAACCATATGCATGTATCAATTTAAAATTATATCTAATTTTTTTTCATGTAATAAGGCCTTGTAGGCCTGTTTGAATAATAAATAAATAAATATCCCCCGAAGCGTAGGGCAACACTGGTGTCTGGTCAATATCGTAAAAAAGCCATGAAAAGTATTATTATTATTTCACATTTAGTAAATTTGAATTATTTTGGACTATTTTCCTCGTCTTTATTGGGTAGGTACTTACTTGAACAAGCAGCCAGAAGCAATATGAATAACATGTCGTGAGCTGAAACAAATCAAATGAATAATTTACGTTGTGGTCTACGATTCCTATGTCAAATTTCATGTCTAGTGTTAACATACAAGTTAAATCTTTGAATTCAATTTTATTGAGACTTTGTTTTCCAAAATACAGTGAATTTGAAGTTACTGGATAATATATGACCATTGTCAATATCACAGAGAATTATTGATGTATCTAAGATGGATGAATATGTCAGTGTTGGTCGAGTAGGTACAATGTCGGGCGTCAAATTATTTATGTTTACTGAATGCTTGCTAAATTTTCTAATACTTTTGTATTGAAATGGAGATGTACTTGTGATATACTCTTTGGAACCTTTGGTGTAGTAATGAATATTACTGGAGTTTTTTCCCAACACCAAATCGTTATTTTTACACCTCGACACGTGTTTCGATCACCAAG